GGTGGTATTGGCGTGACACCATATGCATCGATACTTACCGATCTGGTACTCGATAAGTTATCCGATAGGCATACAGATATTAAATGTAAAAAGGTTTGCCTATTTCCTGTATGAAATTTTTATTTCAGCCTATTAGAATGAAATAAGCTTCTGCAAGTCTAGACTGATTATGTTCGTATCAGTATCAGTCACCTAACAGCGAGTTTTTCAGTGTCTCTTCTCTTTAGGATTACTTATACGTTGTATAAAAGATTTATTAGATATCCATCAAGCTGAGTATATTAGAGCTTTCGTATTTTATCTACCATAATAACGACTTGCATGGTTGCATGTCGGGAAATCACTGGTACTAAGCGGTCTCTCCAGTCGCTCGATGTTTTGGTGTTGTACTGGGAGACATCGCTTATCCGTACTTGCGGGAAATTAACTACTCGGAAAATTAATGAATTCACACGATGACATGACGGGAAACGTCTTGTAGATAAATGATTCAGTGGAAAAAATGGAACTGGTGAACCATGCACCCAGTAATTTCAGGTTTATTTTGTATGGGTCTGTGCAACACATAAGAATTACGAGTGGTTCATCGAGGTGCTACGATCGGTGGAAGAGCTGGACAAGGAGCATTTACTGGAAATGCATATATTTGTCACACAGTTCTTCCACAAATTCGATCTTCGAACTACCATGCTTGTACGGTTTCTGTAAAATTTTCCATATTGTGACGGTAGAACTCAGTGATTTACCCAATTTCCTGATCGGGACGTTGCAGGGATGATTTTCAGCCTCTCAAATTCTGTTGAGAATCCATTCCTGTATACAGCTTTGGGATGAAATATAGACAAGTACAGTAACCTCTATTTTAGCATATCTGCATTATTTTTTTGCATTTTTGCTGTGCAGCGCTGTAGCGCTGCTACAGCCAGCAAAAACGCATATTGTCGAGAGGCTGCCTGTGTGTGTTCGGAAAGCGAGTGCCTTTTGTCACCCACTTTCAACTCGGCAACCAGGAAAGCTGGGGGCTGAAACTTCGGATATATATTCCGATCCCGTGTGTCATCCTCCCGTTTTATGATCTTCCCCCATACGCGCCTAAACCCCGCGCACGAAACCCCAAAGAAATTTGTTGGCGGGAAACGACTTCGCGAACCAGGCAACATAGAAGGATGAAATTTTGCAGGGATATTCTCTATGCACGTACGAGACAAAGGTTTTAAACTCAGCCCTCCAGCTCCCCATCTACAGTCTCTTGCATCTCCTGAACCCAAAAATCGTTAGCAACTCGGACTTGAACTGCAATTGTATGTGCAAATGGACGTGGATTTTTTGAAACAAATGACCGTCCGGGCAATACTTTCAGTTTTTCAATAAACTAAAAATTTGCATATTTTCAAAAATTCGTTCTCAGCT